ATAAACTTTTCACCGTATATACAAACTGAATATTTATCATTTCTCTGAATTTACAAAAAAATGAGAAAAAAAATAATTATAGAAGAAATTTGTGACATAATTTCCTTAATTTTAATTCATTTCCTATTTCAACCATGGAATTTTAAACACCAACTTTACTGAACTTCCTTTTTAATTTGTGCATGGCTGGCTGGTGATGATGCTGATGAAGACAACGGCCATTAGCCAAAAAAACCAGAGCAAGAACACCAAGACCAGTTACAGCAAGACAAGACTACTGGTGTAAATGAAATACTTAAAAGAAATACATATACAGATACAACTGAAATTAAATGAGTACAAAAATATGAAAACGTGTCTGTAGTGTTTGTTGTTGTTGTTTATACAAACAAACGAACATAAATCTATTGAGGCAAACGAGCCTAGTTTTGGCAAAAACAATAAATACACGGCAATAGTTTTACAAGTTTGCCTAGATTTCTGTATGTATCTTATGTTAAATAGCAATAAAAACATAACAAAACTACTGGTGCCATGGCCATGATCATTATGACCATTATAAAATGTACGAGTTGTAGTAAAACAAGCTAAAACAGCCACCAACCAAACAATGAAACAGTTAGCCAACACAAACTGTAAAATCAGGAATAGCAACTCTAGGGAAAGTTTCATTGTACATTGACTTATAATAATATTTTTGGTAGAACTATGTAATGTTGTATGTATGTGTGTGCTATATGTAAAAGTACTTGTATGCTTCAGTTTGTAACACTCTATAAAAACTTACTTTAAACTAAAACTAAAACCAGAGTTGGCAACTAAATTTTTATGATGATTGAAAATTATGAGACATTTGAGACATTGCACAAGCCCCAGCTAGCAAGTGTCTGTGCGTTTCTGTTGGCAAACCAGCATTTACATAAGTATTGTCTCATCATCAGTGTCGTCGTTTTAGTTTAGAAAAGTTTGCGTGAGTGAGTTTATACCCTTTTGCCCTTTTGCTAAATTTTACTACCAGTTTAACTACACTGTGTGTTGTGTATATTGTTGAATTATAAAAGTGAATATTAAATTTTGTTATAGTTGTTCATATTTAGAGATGTTTTCAGTAAATGTAACATTAAGTGTTTTCTTTGGTTTTGAAGACAGAGTCTTAATTAAACATTTAAAAATGAACAAGTAATGAACTTGAAGTTGCAAACAGCTTAAAAAATTACTTTATTTTATGAGCTAGAGTACAAGTTTATGAGTAATTTATGTTTAAGTACATGAATTTTGTAGCCTACTTTAAGGGAATAAGTATTCTATATCGATTCTTTTGTGCGTTATTCTGATCCGCTTTTCTCTGCTTTTGCAGGATACTATTCTTTAAGGGATACTGTTCTTTAATTCCATTTCGGTTTTACAGGACACAATACAACCCTTATCCTGTGGTAGATCCGCTAAAAACTTATTTGTGTACGTCTTCGTCCGAATGGTATGAAACCGAAGTGCTTTACGTGATTTCTATATATGTTCGGTTCTCTAGTCAATATGTTTGTCATTCTGTTTGCAATGACCTCAATACAATTTTCAGAGCTTATAATGTATTTATATTCTGTGGCTACATAGATAATGGAGTCGATTTAGATATGTCGTCCGTTCGTCTGTATGTCTTTCCATCTGTCTGTCTGTCTGTCTGTCTGTCTGTCTGTCTGTCTGTCTGTCTGTCTGTCTGTCTGTCTGTATGTATGTCTGTATGTCTGCATGTCTGTCTGGCCGGCTGTCCGTGTGTCCATGTAAACTTTGTGCGCACCCTACACGTCGCAATTTTCATAATAATTTGATGAAATCTGCCACATACTCTTCTTTTGACCCACGAATCCTATTGAAAATGGTTGAAACCGATCCATTATTTCGTATATCTCCCACACAAGCGTACCCTCCACACACCAAAAATCGGCGGATCTTAGTTTTTTATAAGTCTTAATGATATTGCTGATTTTCGTATTGATCAGGCTTCATTTGACTATATTCCCCATACAAAGTCCCCTGAAGAAAATGACTTTAAAGTCAAAATTCACTTAAAAACACTAAATCACGATTATATTTTGCATAAATAACTTTAATGTATACGTAAATCCCTCTACCAAAATTTATAAGGATAGGACCATATTAACCCCCGTATAATCCCGATTTTAGAAAATCCCTTTTTTGTCAACAAATTGTTATAATATTTCTGAATTAAGGTAAAAAAAAAAATATTAATAATATTTCTTTACATATTTTTTATATTAAAATAAATAAATTCTATGACAAAAAAATACATTTTGTGATTTCTTGAGAAAAAATAAAAATTTACATACACATAAAAACAGATCTGCATATTAACACTTTAATTATACTTTATCTCAGCAAGAAATGCCAAACAAAATTTAGAATATTTTAAGTAGGTAATTTAAAAGAAATGATTTAAAATGGCTCAAATGATTTGAAGATTTTAGCATATTCTTAATAAAATGTTGGATATTTTCTTTGGAAAATGAAATGAGTCTTAATCATATAATATGTATGTATGTATACATATTCTTGTCTAAACATATGACTAAGTATCTTAATACAAACCCAGATTTCTATGCATATTTTTAACAAACACTTAATTAATTTAATTTGTTGTTATCTAAGAAAACCAACAGGGCTTTAAGACTAAAAATAGTACTTTAACACAAACAAACATACATAAGGACGAACTTACTAGCAGACATATGGAGACATAAAATGAATTAAAAACAAAAATTTTTGAATATTATAGACATTTTTGTTTATAATGATTATACAAAATAAAAATTTTTGTTTTGCATAAAAACACATTTTTGTTTAAACAAATGTATATTTTAAGGGGGGAAACTTCATTCACTTAAAGATCCAAAAAATTGTGGAAATTTATAATAAAATTTGAATTGCAAATTTTCATGTTTGTCTTATTTTTGTGAATTTTTAAAATGTCTGTATTTGTGTTTTTTTATGTAAAAAATTCACCAACAAAATGAGACATAAAAGCCTTGTTTATTATTAGGGCCATCATTACCACCAGCAAAAAATATTTAGCACAATTTTTTTTTTAACAATTCTGAGAAAAAATCCAAAAAAAAAAAACGGAACGAAACCATTTTCAAGTGAACTGGAAATTGCTACAATTTAAGTGGCAATTATAAAAAGGGTCATAAATAACTAAAACAGCAACAGCACACAGGCAGCAACAATAATGTACACATTGTATTTTTATACCCTACACCACTTTAGTGGGGAGGGTATATTGGGTTTGTGCTGATGTTTGTAACACACAATAATATTGGTCTTATACCCACCTTAAAGTATACCAATCGGCTTAGAATCATGTTCAGAGTCGATTTAGCTAGGTCCGTCCGTCCTTGTTAATTTGTAATCAAACTATAGGTTGCAATTTTAAAGATAATTCAATAAAATTTGGTACATTATCTTCTATTGTCCCAGGGACGAAGCCTATTGAAAATGGTTAAGATCGGTCCATTATTTTACCTAGGTCCCATACAACTGAACCCCTGAATAGGGCTTTTAAACCTTGTAATCAAACTACAGGTCGCAATTTTGAAGATAATTCAATGAAATGTGTCACATGATCTTCTATGATACCGGAGACGAAACGTATTGAAAATGGTTAACATCGGCACATTATTTCACCTAGCCTCCATACAACTGAACCCGACGAATAGGGCTTTTGAGTTCATAATTATGTTTAATATAATCGTATCGCGACAAAAAGCTGCAAAACAAAGTTCTCTACTAGCCTGATGAATCTCATGAATTTTATAATTATAGGGTCTAATTTGATCATAGCCCCTATAAAAAGCCCCCTTTAAAATTTGGCTTAAATGTCCACAATTTTATTTAACAATAAATGGCTTAAGTATATCTGAGACATTGTACAATTCAACTTAAATGCTTTATTATGAAAACTAAATCACATTTTAGTTTTGTAACAAGTGCAGGGTATTATATGGTCGGCCTCGCCCGACTATAATTTCTTACTTTTATTTTTTTTCTTTATTTTTTGAAATGTTGAGAGGTTGCAAAGGCGAGCGAAAAATTATGCATGAAGAAATAAATAAAATAAACATATATTTCTAACACAACTCAAATCTCAATCATCAGCTTAGTAATATTAGCAAGGATTTTTAACTATGCCTAAATGTAGCACTCCTTCCGCTTACACAAATATGTACATATTAGTATATGTATGTATATAGACATTCTGTACAGTGGTTTGTACAGCAAAACTTAAAAGACAACTATTAGTACGTAAGAAGATAGCTAAATTAATTAAAAACTTTTTGATTAATTTATTATTATTTTTTCTTTAAATTATTAAAATATTAAAAAAGTCTTAAAAATTTTTTAGTTAGTTTTAGATTTTTAATCACTAAAGTTTTCGATAGGACTAAACCACTGTAAAACATTTTATTAATATGTATATCAAAAACGCCTACATTTCAACACTTAAATACCAACAAATATGTATGTATTTTGCTAAGCATAAACAATACTGTTAACACTAAGTTATGTATACTTAGTGTGAACATACTATACACTTACATATGCACCCATATAGCAAGGCATAAATATAGATGTATGTGTATGATTTGTAATTTGTTTCCTGTTTACAAAATTAACTATAAATGTAGGTGTAAATGTAAATGTGTTTATTTAAATGAAATTGCTTTGCCCACAACAGCAGGTAAAATAATAAAAAGAGTATTTATATATATTTAACTTAAATTATAACGGATTTGTTTTCAAAGGATTTTCAAAAACTAATTTTTACAAATACCTCTACATACATATTTATTTAAACACACATATACATTTAAATAACATTTCTATACTCTAAATACAACCTAAACACCATCCATGATTTTGTTAAAATAACAAATTTCAAAAAATAGGGAAAAAAAATCAAACCCTATTTCATGTTATTTACTTACCTCATACTTTTTCGCACATCCTGCGGCTCAGGTGGCCGAGGTCGATGTTTGCATACAACCACTATACCGGCCACAATAATTGATGTTATTACAACAGCCCCAATAGCCACGACAGCAGCTAAAAGCAGTAATGTTGATTGCTTTTCAGGACCACCACCAATACTAGCACCCGTACCACTGGCAGCCACACCAACATTACTACTCACATGATGTGTAGTTTCAGCAGGCGTAGGATCTTCGGACAATATGGATTCATCTGGTGGAAAACAAAAATAGAAAAAATAAGGAAAATAAGCATAAAGTGGTAGAATGAAATAAAAGTTAAACATATAATAAATTAGTATTTATGTTAGATTTATCTAAGAATATAAAAATACTGGTATATGTTAAATGTTGGGTATTCTATTAATTTTTTTTCTATAGAGTATGATTTAAAGCAATTTTATTTTTTAGTCATACTGGTCTTTCAAATTAACACATATTCTTATATTTTATATTTAGTTATATAAATAAAAGGGGATTAAAAATGTTCTTTAAAATACATATACATACATACATAGTTAATCTGCTATAAGACTGATATTACCCAACATTCAAATACAAACTATTCACCTTTCTAAATTTTTTTATAAATGTTATCTTTAGGAAGTTGGAACTAACTCTTTCACGTATATTTGTTTAGCAAAAATTTAGTTCAAATCGTATATGCAACATATTGACCTCTTCTATATAAATAAGTTTTAAATTTTTAAAGTTCATATCAAGTTTAATATCATTCAAAATTGTTTTTCTCTTAACTAAAATTTTTGAGTTATGCTACTCATATAGTAAATGAGTGAAATGTATTTAAGTATGCATTGTTCTGTGTTATTAAGTTTTATGTTTTTATGTTTTTATAGTTTTAACCTAGTTTATGGAAAAAGTAGTTATTTAAATATTGAAATACCTTATGTATTCAGGTCTTAGCATGACGTTTTTAAGAGGTACATTTTGAGGTATTTTGAGTTAAGACACTTTATCTTGACGATCAAATTTAAAAATATATTAAAAACTTAATCAACAATAAGATAGTGGACCACGCAATCGCTTCAAAGGGCAAACAACCAATAGAGAGCGAGAGCTGCAAGTTCAGCATGGGCGTGATGTGTTAGCACCCTAAAGAACTTAGGCGAACTGGCCAATAGCGGTCTTACTTAGGACACGTCATCAATGTATACTGGATACATTGGAAGGTTATACACAATCATCGGACGTGCCTGATCGCATATCAGACACAGAATATGTCGGAAATTTTGAAACACTAATCCCAGTTAGATTGTCTTGATCAAGCGGACCATTAGAGCAAATACCAGTAAAAATCAGTTGCTACACGGATTGTTCTAAATTGGGGAACAAACTGGGCCTGGGGTTCTATATTGAAGACCCAGAAACAGAAATATACCACCGTTTACCTAATCATAACATAAGCTTCCAGGCAGAAGTCCGAGCAAAAGCGGAATGTGTTAATTGGTTTAGAATAAATATCTCGCCCATAGGAGTTAATTTATTTACCGACAGCCAGAAGGCAATTAGAGCGATATCAGGTGATAGAATTAAATCTAAGACCATATTGGATTGTAAGAAAGCTTTAACTGATTATTCTCACAGATGTAAGGTTTACATCATATGGGTACCAGGCCACTCGGGAGTAGTCAGCAACGAAAGAGCGAATGTAATAGCTTTAAAAGGAAGGGAGCTAGAGGTAGTTTACCTGGCGAATGCAAAACCTTTCGACGCAACAATAGCTGAATGGGGTGAGTGAATCCCATAAGGCCTCTTAGAATAATAAAACGCTGGGTAGAACCACAAAGATCCTATGGGGTGACCCTGACGAGAGCAATACGAGAAATCTCCTCAAAATGAGCAAGTATTAGGTTAGTATGATAGTACGTATTCTGAGTAGACACACATGATTATGAGCACATCTACACAAAATTGGACGTGCGGATTCTGACGAATGTAGAGCATTCGTCGAAGTTAGATCCAAGTATCTTGATCAACACTGATTGGAAAATTCTTAGAAGTATCGTCCAGGAAACTGGGTTTCTGAACATTGAAAAATAATACATTCAGTGTAAAATTTTTTTTTTTTTTATGAAAAGGACCGCACAACAGGCTTGATAGAGGCCTTGGTGTATTTCTTCCTCCTATAAACCTAACATAATTTTCATACCCCACACCTCTATAGTGGGATTAGTATTTCTGCTGATGTCTGTAACGTATGGAAATATTGGTCTACTTACGCCTTCGTACATCTGTTGTTATGTCCGTCCTTCTGCTTGCCCATCCATGTATAATTTGTAATCAAAGTAATTTCACCCAGTCCCCATAAAAGCGGACCTTCTGATTTGAACTTTTTACCAACTTACCCAACCACCTACTTTCAATGACTACTATATACCGTCTGCATTACTTAAAAGGAGAAAAAGTAAACTGCCTACTTAACTTTGTATTTGTAAGCGAATGTGGTGCGTAGTTACTTAGCTCACTTCTCTAGGTGAGTGAGGAAAGTACTTGCCTCTAATTTCATCACGCTGTTAAAATAAAGACTTAGTAAGTATTTTAATCCCTTACTTGGTAATGAAAGGTTTTGCTGGGATACAAACATTATCATCACGATGAAATTCTGAATAAATCTCTCCTACGAATTATATGAGAATTGGTCTATGTTTGACCAAAGCCCCCATATAAAACCTCTTTCAGAAAAACAGTTTTTTATCAATAAGTTGCATAAATACATAGGAAATACTTCCTGTTTGTTATTCTTTCAATTAAAACTTAATTATATTTCGCCAGAAACTTCTTATCCATATAGTATCTATAAATACTCATATTTTCCACCACAACAACAGCAAGTTTACCCAATTAATATAAATTCCTAAAGAATTTCCTAATTGTTACTATTTATTAAGAAAAATTCAAACGTATGAGCAATATTAATTAAACTTAACAAATTAATATTAATCATACGCTTACATAAACTTTATTTACATTTTCATTTTTATTTCTTTAATAACCACTTCTTAAACTAAATATTTAATTTAATTTTTGAATTATAATTAAATAATAGTTTTCAATTATAATTAAAATGTAAGTACTTTGTCTTTAATTAATAACCCTTAAATAATGCAAATTTATCTTTTGTTTAAGAAACAAAAAAATCAAGACTAAGTCGGTAAGTTATTTTTTTTTTCATTCAACAATTGTTGCAATTGCAGACAAGAGAAAAGAAACTTATGGCACAAGTTAACCTCAGGTGAAACAAATTTTTCGCTTTAGCACTCCTAAAAGTATGCTATATGTTTTACCAGCACACACATACAATGTATGAATGTATGTTAGAGTATAAAGAAATTTATATGATTAGGAAGTATGCTATAGTAAGAGTAAAAGCAAATATTAGACATACTTACATACATATAAGAATGTATACAATAATCACATTTCCTGGCAATAATTTATATAATATTCTTTTGTTTTCCGGCTGCTGTTGCTACTCATACTTAAAAGTTTTTTTTATTAAGGAAAAAGTGTGAGTGTATAAGTAAATGTGTATATGTATGAGTTTTGAGATTTTTTTCTTTATTATTATACATACATATCTATTGCTATTACCGTGAGTATTACATAACTAAAGCATAACTTTTCTTTTACATTACAACATATCTTCTTTCAAAACGTAATGACAAATAAAGAGCAAAAACAGACAAGAATAAAACATTGCTTTTACTATTTATATTCTTCAACAAAAATGCCAGTTTGTGTTGTCATAGGAATTATATATTTTTTTTGGTTTACTCTCTTTCTCTCTGTTTCATTTCATTATTTATTTAGCCTCAATGAGGCTCAGATTTTCTATTGTTGTCAACATTATTTTCATTTGCACGCTAATTGAAACAAGATTAATTGAGGTAAAATTTATTTAGAAATTATTACTGCCAACGAAAAGCACGTGTGTGTTATAATTCTTTTCGTTTTAAATAAATGTTTGCGAAACGGGAATTATGCTGTTGTAATATTTGTTTAAATAAAAGGTAATGTTTAGATTACATGGAAGCAGATACAAATTTTTGTTAATTTATTTTTTTAGACCTTAAAAGCATCAGTTGTATTTGTTAAATTATAAATATTAAAAATGAATATAAAACAAACACAACGTTTAATCCACTTTACAAAAAATCCTTTTTTGAAGCATACAATTAGGCAAAACAAGCCTAGATTTAGGCAGAGAAAATTAATATTGGAAACCAAATAGCTCATTGAAGGCGAAACTGTTACAATTAAAAATTTGAGTTTTTTGAAAAAAACGTAAGGAGATCTTTTATTTTTTTTTCACTTCTCAAAGTATTCAAAAGGTTTCGTAGGGTAACTGTTACCCAATTTCTTTTTGGTAAGACTGATTTTAGTGTTCAGTGTTGAATATAAGACAGACAAACAAGTATCCTTTATATATTTCAATTTTACACAATTTCAACATAAGTTTAACTTCTTCTCTAACCATACCAACCACCCTAACAGTTTTCTGTTAATTATAGCTGGCTGCTGTTTTTATTTTTAAATTCAATTGAACTCGACAGCATTTAAACAGCTTCAATTTACATACATATACATATATGAGTTAATGATACATATAAAATGGCATTAATGAGTCAACCAAAATGCCTGTAACCTCATTTTAATGCCAAAAGCTTTATATTAAAAAAATATAATAATACATTTGGTTTTATTTATCTGGATGTATTACGATTATGTAGACTTTTAATATAAATACACCAATCAGGTTGCAACATAAAATGTTTAAATGAATAAATAAATTGTTATAAATAAATTCATTTTTAATAAAAATTCTTTACGATATAGAAAATTTTATTTTTTTATATATATAACTGGTTGTTAATTCATCAACAAATCAAATATTGATATCACAGTCTGATATTAAAATACTTTTAATTGGACAAATATGTTGAGATTCATATGGGTTTATGTGTGTTGGTGTAAAAATGTGTTTGTAATAAAATATATAAATTGAAATACAATATGAGAATATGTATAACAAAAGAACCAAGTGAATGTATTTAATAAATTAACAAAAATATTTTTAGCTTCAGCAGAGCCAATATAATGGAGGCAGGAATATGCAAAACATTTGTAAAGCGAATTTAGTACATATGTATACAATGGTTGTTTTCGTTTTTTTTTTTATAACAAAACTAAATT